ACTTGGGCTTCCTGCAGAAAAAGCTGGTGGGGGGTTTGTTATGGAGTGTCACCCTCTCCAGACCCGTGGAAAGGGTGCACACAGCCAGGCTGGGAACACCAGCTCTGGGCAAGGCAGATGGGGGAGTGGAGAATGTATAATCTCTGCTGTCCCCATCACGCCCTGTGCTCCTCTCCCTCGTGGCATGTGTCGTGTCCCACAAGTTCTGCACTCAGGGCTGAGGTTTGTCCTGCAGACAAGATGTGGTGTCACAGTTTTGCCCCGTTGAAATGGGAATTGTTTACTCTTTCACTCCTTGCGTTTTTACGAGGAGCAAGGAACGATGACAAAAGCAAGACTTAAAATATGTTGAGTGGGGTTTCTCTTCTTAAAAGCGAAGCTATTCCTTGAGCTTCTTTCTAGTCTGCTTGGAAATAAATTATCTACTTGATTTTTTTTTTTAATTTTTTTTTTTTTTTGCACCACGTGTTACCAGAGGCGAATTTCTGGAGGACAATGGGGCTGATATTCAAGTAGCTGCTGCTCTGAACCACAACCTCCGACGGCTGAACTTCAGAGCGCCAGAAAAACAACAGTGCTGCTTGCAAAGAATGCAGCTGCAGAGCCTGGCCTGGCTGTCAGGCTCCTCACACTAACGATCTCCCCAACTGCAAACGAAGAGGGAATGTGACTTTAACAATGCCCTCAAACAATCGTGCGAGGGGATGATTTCATGCCTTTTTTTTTTTTTTCTCGGGTGCTTTAAGACGTTGAACTGTAGCAGAGTGTGGGTTTCTTGATGAGATCTAAAGCCGGCTGGACTTGTTTTCTCTGGAGGAATTGGAAGCTGTTGGATGCAGAGGATCTCAGGAGGTTTTTCTGGTGATAAAGATGTTCTGAAAGACTTTGCAAGAACACACTTTCCAACAGAAGGGGCTTGTGCATCTGCAGGGTTGAGTGTTTTTCCCAATTCTGCAGGAAGGTGACACTTGTTCTTCCTATCAACTTGGCTTTGCCTAGGGGAAAAAAATCCACCTTTTGTGCATAATTGCATAGGTTGGGTTATGTCTTTCTACTTTTCTCACTTCCCAGCTGTTTGACTGTTGGAAATACATTTCCTTGGCGTCCTGTGGTTCTTGGAGAGACTTTTGGCGAGGGCTCGCAGTGACAGGACAAGGAGGAACTGCTTTGAGCTTCAGGGGGTAGATTTAGATGGGATATTGTGAAGAAATCCTTCCCTGGGAGGGTGGGCAGGCCCTGGCACGGAGAAGCTGTGGCTGCCCCATCCCTGGAAGTGTCCAAGGCCAGGTTGGACGGGGCTTGGAGCAGCCTGGGCTGGTGGAAGGTGTCCCTGCCCATGGCAGGGGGTGGGACTGGGTGGTCATCAAGGTCCTTTCCCACCCAAACCATTCTGTGACCCTGTGATTCATTCCTGTTAAGTGTTTCTGAGGGTTGTGCATGATTTAGGGCATTTGTAGAGTGATGCAGTAAAATATGCAAATTTGATAGTATCTGCAGCACCCAGGCCTCAGTTTTCTTATTGCTCGTGGTTTGTGTGTCCAGTCATAACTCTGAGGTACATTTGGGGCTCACAGCCTGAAGAAAGCTTCCTATTTTATGGTATCTTGAAGAAACACGGGAGTTTTATATGTATAATTTTTTATTCCTTCTTGTGTAGATTGTGGGATGACCATCCTTACAAATGAGTTTCTGAGTGACCACAAGCTCCAATATTTTGGGAGTTCCCACAGTGCTCCCTTGACATCCGTCCCAGGGCAGCTTTGTCCCACGTTTCCAGCACAGGTTCTGCAGGGAAAATCAGCTCTGTCCTATGTGTGCCTTTGTTTTTCTTTGTTTTGGTGAGAGAAACCAAGGTAGAACCAATTCCCCTGGCGAGACTTGCCTGTGCTATTGTTTCACAGGTTATTTTGAGGTCTGGCTTCCCCCTGGGATTTTTCCTCTCTTGGCTTTTTGACCTTTTTGCATCCTATAGTGATTCTCTTGATTAGAATGACTGAGTCGTAATGGATTTACACGGTGCTTCTAAAATTAAACTTCACGGCCTTTCTAAAATTAAAGGTAATTTGAGGGTTTTGAGTCGGGGGAGGAGGGAAATGGGGGTGGTTCAGACTTCTCTGTCGCTGTGGCAGAGCCATGCAGGGAAAATACCTGCTCCCAAAAGAGAAACTGTTTGTGCTGGGCTCCTCAAAACTGCTCTGGCTCTGCAAGTGCAGAGTCTGAGAGAATCAGTTCTCTGTGACTTTGAGGATGAGGAGTTTCAGTGAGGTTGTGGACTAGGTGATAATTCCTTTTAGACCTTCCAGAAGGGATGGTGCCACAGTCTGGGTGCCCCATGATCCACAGGGTGATGCAGAGGTTTGAGTGGGAGGGGATCTTTGAGCCCATCCAGTGCCACCCCTGCCACGGGCAGGGACACCTTCCACCAGCCCAGGTTGCTCCAAGCCCCGTCCAACCTGGGCCTTGGACAATCCCAGGGATCCAGGGGCAGCCACAGCTTCTCTGCCCAACCTGTGCCAGGGCCTGCCCACCCTCCCAGGGAAGGATTCCTTCCCAGTAGATTATGATTATCTCGGGCTTGATGAATGGAAAAATCCTGGCTGCCCTTCCGAGCGGTGCCGGCTGCGATCCCAGCCGGACACAGACGGGCCCTTCATGGCTGTGCCAGCAGCCCCAGAGTCCCCCCAGCTCCCACAGCTGCAGCCCCTGAACAAGGGAGCCCTTGAGTCAGCAGAGAGAGCCTTGACCTTCATCAGAGCAGAGCTCGGGGCTGAATGGGCATTCCTGGGGTGGCTGCAAGGGCTTCCTTACCCTTTGCCCTGTCCCTGATGCCCACAGTGATCCTGAGCACTCCCTCCCTCCCTGCCTGGACCTCTGAACCCCTCTGAGCCAGGCTCTGGAGGTTAAATGCCATTTTTTGCATAATTAAAAGCCCTGTGGAAGTATTCCCTGGGACAGACTCCCCCCTCTGCTCACACCAGTGGTGTCCATTCCCAGGCTCAGCGTGGAGAACTGGTGTGTCACTTCTTCAGGAAAACAAGGTTTTGTGGGAGTTGTCTCACAGGAGCAGCTGATGTGGTCACAGTCAATGCCACAATAAAAAATGCTGGGCTTGTTTTATTTCCCAAGTAAAAGGTGTGTTTCAGTCACTGTCCTTTCTCTTTCTGACTCAGTCTGATTAGACTCAAAGTTTAGTGGGCAGATTACTTTTAACCAATATTTAGTGTTTTTTCTGAGTGATGAGTGACATCAGAGTAACACCTGGGTGAGGGCAGAGCAGCAGAGTGGAGGTTGTTCAACCTGGAGGAACAGCGTGTTCCTGGGAGAAACCTGTTTGCTTTGACCCCACTGGGGCTGTACCATTGCAAAATCTCCTCAGGATGAAAAGGGTCGGGTTCAGGCGTCGTGCTGGGAGCAGCTCGTGTGTCACTTGGCCAGATCCGCAGGGTTTGGGGGCAGGAGGCTGCACATCCCAACAGGCCACTTCTCCACTGCTGCATTTTCAGTGCCTCTGTTTCATCGTGTTTGGTAAAGCTCCAGTAAGGGATCCAAGCAATAACAGCATTTCATTGACATCTTAACCCGAGCTGTGATGCAATTTGTCCCTTCCGTTAGTTCTGCAGGGTTTCAACTTGAGTTAAATTAGTGATTTAAGGAAAAAATTCACTTTGTGCTCGTGCCTTGCTCTGCTGTGTCGGGGAAGGTGCTGGTGGTGCTCCCAGGAGCCTCCTGCTCCCTGCCTGGGGCAGCTCAGTGGGATGTGGGAGGTTTGGGAAGGTGGGCGCACCTTCATCAGCAAGATGCAGATGTGAAATCTGAATGAAGCAGGACTGGGATGCTCTGAGGGTGGAAGGAGAGCGTGTGCCTGGGAAATCACTTGGGAATGGCCTGGAGAGGGGAGGTGAGAGCCCCGGGGCTTGTCAGAGCAAAGGGGCCTTCAGTGATTATTGCTGTTGATAGGCACTTTTATGGGCTGTGCTCTCTTATCCAGCCATTCACAGGAGGTGTTTATTCTCCTCTGCTCTTTCAAAGATGCTTTTGATGCCACAGGTTTTGTTCTCAGAACAATAACGTGCTTGATAACCTTTGGGGCTGCTTTTTGAAGCCTCTTGGTTCTTGTCTTGGGCTGTGTTTGGGGTTTCTGTGTGTTTACAGCTTAAATAACTGTGATTGGGTTTATTCAGCATCAAGAAATCCATCCTAGTCGGAGCAGCCCTGGCTGCTGGTGGATGCAGTAACACACAGAAGGTGTTTGCTCCCTAATAAATCTTTGAATTCCTTATTTTATGAAGTGGGAATAGCTGGGGAAAACGCCGCTGGTGATGAGCTGCTGTGCCCGGGGGTAGCTGGGAGACTGGTTTCTCAGCCCAAATTCCAATTTCTGGGTTGGGATGTTGATTTAAAACCTGTGAAAGAGTTTTAAAGGCACCAGCAACCTTTTCCTGAATAAGAGGTCACTACATAAAATTTTTGCCTCTTGGAAAAGCTTGTGTTATAAATGTTGTTGCTCTAGGTTGAAAGTGTTAATTTATGTGGTATGTTGGGTTGGATTTAAAGGTCCCTGAAGACCTTTGAATCTCAGTAGCTAATAAGGCTTGCAGAAGAGAGCTTGAGAGAGGAAAAACTTACTGGCAGTGAGTAATGCTGGTGAAGGAGCTCCAGGATTGAGCCAGTTTTGCAGAGAATAATTAGAAATGATCGTGTTGGCCTTTGGTGTGTTTGATTATTTCCAGCTATAGATCTCCCTGTGTCCCTGTCCTGCAGCCCCCCACTCCTGGGGGGAAGGATTCTCCCTGCTGAAACCCCTCAGGCTGAGTTTTCCCAAGTCTTACGCTGCTTCCAAGGGGCCAGAGCTGCTTGGGATGAGCTGAGCAGGCATCTCCCATCTGCCTTGGCTCTCCCGCTCTATCCCTGATGGAATGGATGGGGTGTTCAGACTCCAATCTCTCTTCTCAGCTAAACCAGCCCTTCAAAAATGCTTAGACTTGTCCTTCCTCTTCCAGCTGGCCTTGCTGAACTTCTTTCACCCCGAGGAGAAGCTGCACATTGGAGAGGAAGGGAGACGAGTCCGCCGGAATAAAAGGAGTAAGGGCAGCGAAGGGCCCGACGGTGAGTCCTGCTCAGCTTCTCTCTGATTTTGGTTCCCTTCCACGTGAGGAATTCCAGGAGTTCTGATTTCTGCCACTGTAGGTCAGGTGATTCTGCGTAAATTAATGCTGCTTACGAATTCCATCCTTGACTCCTCTGACAGTGAGCTCTGTGCTCGTTGTAGGCTGTAATTTGTACTTTAATACCTTTATTTGCTGTTCTGCGCACCTGTCTCTGCTTAAAGTCATCAAGAAGTTATTCATAACCCAACCAACAGCTGGGAACATCTGGATCACGAAATGGTAACTGCTCTGAGGGGGTTTTGCAATGCAGTGGAGTCTCAGGTGGGTTCAAAGCCCGTGTGAAGGGAAGTCAGAGTTGGATTAGAAGAGTGGAAAGGTGCCTGATTTCAGTGTGAGGGATTTAATTTCCCATCCTGCGTTTTTATGATTGTCATAACCCTAAGACATGAGCGTCTCCTCCTGGAAGAGCTCCCGTGCTTGCCAACTGCAGGAGAGCACATCCAACATCTCCAGAGCTGGGGTCTCTCTGCTGCTCAGATGGCTCAGGCAGGATCTGGGTCCTTTTCCACCAACCCCTTGAAATCTGTCCCGGTGTCTTCACCAGCCGCTTGTGTCGGTAGCAAGTTCCCACTGGCTGCGAGCGGTGCTGATGGAGCGGTGCTGGCAGATGTTGGGAGGGACCAGCCTCGCTGCCTCTGCACTGCCAGATGTGCAGAGAAACGCTGCAGGGGAGAGGGAGATGCTGAAAGTCGATGTCTAACGAGGGCTTTGCTCATCATCCTTGTGCTTGGCTGGAAATGTGTCGTCCTTTTATGACTGGCATTCCTTTCCCAGATTTCCTTTATATTCTCTGGATGCTCAGGGTTGAGTCACTCCAGAAATGCAGGGCACTTGCACCACTTATCCAGTCCAGGGAAGGGTCTGGAGCAGCAGGAGGGGCTGAGGGAGCTGGGGGGGCTCAGCCTGGAGAAAAGGAGGCTCAGGGGGGACCTTCTGGCTCTGCAATCCCTGCCAGGAGGGGGGAGCCGGGGGGGGGGTCAGGCTCTGCTCCCAGGGAACAGGGACAGGAGGAGAGGGAACGGCCTCCAGCTGGGCCAGGGGAGGTCAGGTGGGACATCAGGAGGAATTTGTCCCTGGAAAGGGTGGTCAGGTCTTGGCAGGTGCTGCCCAGGGAGGTTTGGAGTCCCCACTCCTGGAGGTGTCCCAGCAAGGCCTGGCCGTGGCACTCAGTGCTCTGGGCTGGGGGACAAGGTGGGGATGGGGCACAGGGGGGATCCATGGGCTGGGAGGGCTTTTCCAACCTCAGTGATTCTGGGATTCTCTTATCTGTGTCTTTTGGTAAATTAAGGATTTTGACCCCAAAGCTGCCAGAGATGGGAAAACTGCCAGAGGGACAGGTCATGTTCCTCATGGCTTTGGCAAGTGGTCTCCCCTTGTTTGTCCGTGGTGGTTTTATTGGGTAGAGCTGCACTTAACAAGTGAGAGCTGTCAGGGCAGGGAGTGACCTTGTAACAACCGTAAAATCAATAAACAAGCAGAGCCTGTCCTTGGGGAGCTTGTGCTGTTTGTTTTAGACCTTCGTGAAGGAATCTTGGTGTTGGAGCAGGGCAATGAATCATTGCACTAATAAATAAAGTCATGTCACGGTCCTGATAACACCGTTTTCCCCGTGAGTTTTGCAAAGGGAAAGTCGATCAAATCTTTGATCTCCAAAGAGCCTCCAGAAGATAAAAGTGGATGAACTCTAAATTCCCAGAAGGAAGGAGATGTGCTTTCCACTTGAGGCCTCACTAATATTTTGTCTGGAATTAATTTTACGAACTTTCAAGTCCTTTCACACGTGCGGTGAAAGACCAAAGTGATCCAAGTGTGTCAGCCATGGTTGGAGGGAGGCTCTTCTAGTCCTGCTCACCTTGGTACCCTCAACAGACTGGCTTTGATGATTTATGAACATCAGAAATAACCTGGTTTCTCCCCTAAAAGCTTTTTCTTTAGGACAGTTTGCTTTCAAGTCTTTTGCTGCGAAAAAGGGTTTGGGCCAGGGCAGAGCTGGTTCCATGTGGGCAGGGGAGGGTGATGGCTGTGCCCAGGGCACAGAGCCACAGGGATGGGACATGGGAGGCCACGAGCAGCAAAGCTGCTTTGTCAAAAAACCCAAGGAAAATTGTGTGAGATAGTGCAAAGCCATGGGTTGGATCCTGTCCCTCCCAAACAGGACTCCAGGATTGCAGGGGCTCTCGTTTGAGGACTCTGGTTTCAGCCCTCTGACCCTCCTGACATGTTTTATGATGGTGTTTGCTTCATTTTGGTTTGTCCCCCACACACGGTGCCCTGGAGCCAGTTAGAGCAGCCGGGGTCATGTCCTGGCCGGGGTGCCAGCCTGGCTCCCACTCCACTGTCCGTCTGTCTGTCCAGCCCTGGGACACTGGGGGGCATGGCTGGGGGCTGATGCCTGTTCCCAGTCCTGGCATCATCATCTTCAAGCCACTTTCCTGTACATACCACCAAACCCACCATTTGCTCAGCTTTGAAAGGTGCCACCAGTTTTTCCTGCTCCTCAGGGACCAGGATTACCCCTTTTACACTCCATTTTTCATGTGTTTTTTCTCCTCTGTGCTACCAACTCCACCTGTCACATAATTCCCTTTAGTTCCCGAAAACCTGACCCTCTCCAAATCCTCTCCTTCATTTTCCCATCTCCCCCTCCTTCCCTTTTGCCCTGGTGTATTTATGCTGCTGTGGAACCGCTGTTGCTCCCAGATGAACAAATCATTCCGGAGCTGCTAATTAGCAACAGTTGTGCTAAAAGGAACCATCAAGAATGTTAAATTAGTCCACTTTTAAATAAACTGGGTATGAAATGTTAGATCTCAATTCCCAGAGTGCCAGTAAAAATGCTGCTGGCTCTTTGCTAACAAAGCCAAAATCTGGGAGTAGCATGGTTGTAACTACAGAGACAATTCCGTGCTCTTGAGGTTATAAATAATGACAGAGCATTTACAAAGCAGATGTCAATAGGACTCTTTAAAAAACATTGTTTTAAACAAAAAAAATAGTTTCTTTTTCTCCTACTTTCATCTCTGTTCCCAGTTAGATCCCTGCCGGGCTGCTTTCCTGGTTTCTGGGTTTTTTTGCTTTTTGGGTTTGGGGTTGTTGGTTTGGGGTTTTTTTTTCCCCCCTTCTAGATTTTTTCATACTGAGCTTGGTGAGAAACATCAGGGATTGTTATCCAGGCTTTGATTCGGAGCAGGGCAGCTGGGAAGAGGCTGAGCAGATGGCTGTCCTTAAGCTGACAACAATTTGGTTCCTACTACTTTGGCAGTTCTTCCTGCCGAGGAAAGTCCTGGAGGAGAACTCGAGGGTGTCAGTGCTGCAAAAGGCTTTTGGTTGAAAGGAAAATTAAATTCTGGGGGAGGAGAAGCTCCTCCCGATCCCTGCTGCTACCTGGAGCTTTGGAAGTGATGCACCAGCTACGTGGGTCCAGAGTTTCACCTTCTTAGGATTCGCTTGGTGGGTTTAGGGAGGGTTTAGGATGGTTTTAGGGTGATCTTAGGGTGGTCTTGGCATGCTTTTTGGATGGTTTAGCAGGTAGCTGATGCCAGAGCCTTGCTTTTTAGGGTGGTTTTAGGGTGATTTTAGGATGGTTTAAGGGTGGCTTAGGTTAATTTTTGTTTGTTTTGTGGGTGGTTTAGCAGGTAGCTGATGGCAGCCTGGCTTTTAGGATGATTTTTGGATGATTCCTGAGCCTGGCTGGGGGTGCCTGGCTCCTGCTGGACTGCCCCAATCCCGCAGGTGCCGTGTCCCAGCCATCCCCTATCCCAGCCCAGCAGTGCTGACCATGCAGTGGGACTTTTTCCCCCCCTTTTTTTTTTGATATCCAGATCAACAATAGCAACTTTTCCTGGCGGCTTCCTCTCCTGTGGAAAGGGCAGGTTCGTCTCTCTGCCTGCAGAACAATCGGTGCCTTTGTGTGGGCCCCGTGCAATTCCCAGAGCCCCGGCATTCCCAGAAACGCAGATGGATGCAGGGCGATAGAGCCCCATTGTGCTCCGCAACCATGGTGATGAGCACGCAGTAAATACAGAACATTTCCTGGATCCTGGAGCGCGGGACACGCTCCCAAAAGGAAGGCTCAGCACAGAGCGCTCGCTCTTACTGATCTCCCCCAGAACTTGTCTGGGATTTCCTCCCTAAACGGGGGAAAGGGGGGAATTCTGATGATGTTTGAATCTTTGGGGACGGTCTTCATCCCTCTCCTGGGACGTTGCTGTCAGCATTTGTTATTACTGTGATTGAATTAAGACTGCAGTTTATTTGCAAATCCCTATCCACATGTTATTCCCAGGCTTATGGTAACAGGAATCTGTATAAAGTCTTGTACCTTAAATCCCAGTGAGATGTTTAGTTGCTGGTTCCAGCTCTGTGACAGCGCTGGCACAGAGAAGCTGTGGCTGCCCCATCCTGGAAGTGTCCAAGGTTGGACAAGGTTTGGAGCAACCTGGGATAGTGGAAGGTGTCCCTGCCCCTGGCAGAGGGTGGAATTGGATGATCTCTGAGGTCCCTTCCCACCCAAACCATTCCATGATTCTATGAACTGCTGGAGTCCAGAATTCCTCACTGACCTCTGCTGTGTTGCTGTCCCAGTTGGATGTTGAATATAAAAAGCAATTAACTTGCTGGGAGAGCTGCAAGTGCAATGGTGTGGTGGCTGGGATGAGGAATTGTCCTGGCTCACAGGGTTCACGTTGGTCAGTGTGTTCTGACCCATCTGCAACCTTCGTTTGCCTCCTGGCCTCTTCTCTAGCCCTTCCAGTTGGGAGCTGGATTGTTCCAGAATCCATCCCTGCTTCATTATTGGGATGTTTATGAGGCTGTGATGAGGTGCTGCTGATTTGCTCCATCCGTGGAGCTGCTCTGGGGGGGTGTTTGTCCTTCCCTGGTGCTCCTGTCTGGTTCAGATAAGGCGGTGGGGTGGCCACAGGAACAGCTGGAGTTGCT